TGTCAGAGTGCTTCATTTTTCTCTGTGGGTTAAGAATGTCAAATTCTATCTTTCAAGAGATTCAATTGTTCAATGCCTAAATCTGAATGAAATTGTACGGGCTCCTTCTTACAAGTACTACCACCCTGAGAAACCTGTGCACAGATCCCTGTTGTCAAATGAGTCTATGCCAAATGTCACATATGCCTTGGACACTTCTGAAAATTGTAAAGATGTTTCATTCAAAAATTCCTGGTCACTCTAGAAATGTGAGTAAATTCTTCTCAGTATATAAAGCATTATGTGTACTTATTTGACAATTACCCCAAAAAGTCAAAAAGAGCTATTCTAATCTCAATTTCCAAAACTTATAGGCCTAAGTAGCGATTTCCTAACTCTAGAGAATAGCAGAAACATTCATTTGTTGCTGCTATAACAAATTATCACTAACCTGGTGGCTTCAAATAACAGAAATTTGTTTTCTTCCAGTTATGGAAATCAGGAGTCTGAACTGAGTCTTACGGGGTTGAAATCAGCTATTGGCAGAGCTGGTCCTTCTAAAGACTCCCAGGGTGGAATAATCTGCCCCTGCCTCTTCCAGATTCTGCTCATGCTGGTATCCCCTGGTTGGTGGCTGCATCACTCCCAAGGCCACCTCCACAGACACACTGCCTCCTCCCCTCTGTTGTCCCCTTTCCCTCTGTATCCCTCTTACAAGACTTGTTATTGCATTTAGCCCTGCTCCCAGGTCATCCTGGATAATCTCTCCATCTCAAAACAATTTAGTCATCCTTTGGCCACACAGGTGACAAGCACAGGGATTAAGACTTGAGTATCTTCATTCTTCTTACCCCCCTCTTTTTCAAACTCTAGTGACCTGTGGAGATGGCTCACCCTACTCACCCCTTCCTCTCAGGGAGAGCCACCATCACTGGAAAACTGCCCACCACTGCTCAGATACCTTTCCATTGTTGAGGCAGAAAGAAAACCCAGAAAACCAAAACCCTGAGAATCACTGTCTAAAAGGCAATAACATTGATGCCACTGAGCCATCGATTAAAACCTGTGAAAATGTAATATCCAAGCAATGAAAAGTCCAATCATTTCATAAAATATGACTTAATGTTTCTTGTCTCAGTATTTGATAAAATATAAAATAAAGGAGTAAAGAACATGGGATAGACATTGAGGCCTCTTTCTCCAGGTTCTCCATCTTGGTAAGAGCTCCTGGGCTCCTGATGCCCACAGAGGTGGGGAGCTGATACTTTCCAAATGTGCCCAAGAACAAATTCTTTCAGCTGTTCAGTCCCACTGAATCCCCTCAGTAGAAAAATTTGATTCACATATTTGCTGCTATTACTTAAAATATATTCAGATAAAAAGAAATCTGTATAACAACAAGCTGAAGTAAATGCATTTCATTTCCCATTAAAAAGTTATTTTTCTGGGACTGGTGTTGTGGCTCAGGGGTAAAGCACTTGCCTAAGATGTGTCAGGCACTGGGTTTGATCCTCAGCACCTCATAAAAAATAAGAGATAAAATAAAGGCACTGTGTCCATCTATAACTACAAATACAAAAAATGTTATTTTTCTGGTAATGATAGACAAGTCAAATTAATCCATAATAATTTAATACTACTAAGGATTACTTAAATGACCACATTCTAATTTGAGCATTTCACAAATATATTCTCTAAAAGGAACAAAATAAATACCCTTTAATTGTACTACATCTTTTGATATACTCAAGATTTTTTTTTCTTATGATCTCACTTCCCGCTTCTTTTCTAAAGGCCTCTTCATTCTTCTCTAGTCTAGTTCCTTTCCAGTTTAAGATTCCAACTATAGGCCCTTTGTTAGATACTTTACTTTGGACTGGGGACATGGTTTAGTGGTAGAGTGCTTAGCTTGCATTAGCAAGGGCCTGGATTAGATCCCCAATAGAAAGTAAGGATAGGGGAGGAGAGAAGAAAAGAGGAAGGGAGGAAGGAACAGAGAGAGAGAGGGAGGGAGGGAGGGAGAAAGGAGACTCTGGCCACATCTAAGGTGCACTATCTGTTACTGGCTTTCCACTTCCATTTTTGATAGAACTCAGTTGGGCAGTCTTAATCTTCACCAGGACCAGAGCTCAACATTGCTGTAGGCATAGCTCCTTTCAGATGATTCTACTGAGCAGATCTCCCTGGTGGTTTCTTATCACCCCTGGGATGAGTTCAGACCTACAAGAAACAGGAAGCCCTCCCTTTGGGTTCTTCTCAAAACCAAAACTACCTACCTTTTATACAAGATCTCAGCCTAGCCCTTTTTGAAGCATGCCAAAATAACTCATACTTTTCACACATACTTCATCAAAATGTCCCTCATCCACTTACACTGTCTCAGTCATCAAAACTCAGTTTGGGGTCATTCACTCAGTCCTGTTTTTCTGAAACAGTTCCTTTGTGTTCTTACTGCTCTATACACATCCTGTTATTGGGCACTTGTGACCCTCCCTTAACACTTACTTGCCTATATTTCTGTGTTTCCACATGAAATGTGAATTTCCATACCATATCGCAGGCATTTGTGTATGTGTATATGGTACTTGGGATGGAACCCAGAAGCATTCTGACTCTGAGCTACATCCCCGGCATTTTTATTTTTTTTATTTTGAGATAGGTTCTCCCTAAGTTGCCCATGTTGGTCTCAAACTTTCTATTTTCCTGCCTCAGCCTCCCAAGTAGCTGGGATTACAGTCAGGTGCTACCACACTTGGCTCATATGCATTTTTGTATCCCCAATTCCTAGCATAGTAACTGGCACTAACAGATGATTAATACATATTTGCCAAGGGCTAAATGTAGAACTTTGTCTCTACTTTCTCCCTGCTTTGAAAGCTACTTAAGAAAACATTCACTATGATTCATTTGCACCTAGGTATGAATACTAAGTGTAAATAAGCTTATATTCAGGACTGGCTACTTTTTAATCGACATTCCTAGGTACAAAATAAAGTTAGTTCTCTCAAATAAGTTCAAAATTAAAAAGCATTAATTCATGATGTTTCTGATGATAGGAAGCCTTGCTGACATCTTATACACAATTAACAGGACCTCTCTATGCATTTCATAAAGACACTCCAAGATTTATAATCTGCAAGGCCTCAGGGTTAGAAGGAACATAATCTTTCTGATGATGAAGTGCTCTCCATAATATCCAAAATTATGGCCAAAATCTGTATACAAGAACATCTAAGTTCCTCCCCAAAAAGCCCATTTCCGTTTTTGCATGTATTTAAAAAAAAAAAAAAAACAGGTGTTATATACCTTGATAACTTCTGAGCCCTCTGGTCAATAGTAAATGAAATTGCAAAGTAATAAAGGGAGGAAACCAACACTGTAAAGTTTAAATTAAAAAACCAAGGAGCACAAATCACATTAGGGCACCTTTTTGCTTTTTAATTTGAGATTCAAGAATGGTAGCCCCCCTAAAATAGCCATATCTAAGATAATCAAGATTATAACAGGAAACTGTCTGTGCATAAATTGCTCTGGCAGGAAACTGATTAGTTCAGCAAAGAGACAGGATGCTTCTTGTCTCTGATGTTGTCTGAGTTAATTCTATGCCTCCTCCATGGGCCAACTGCTCTGAGATAAAGAATTATAAAGTTGCCTCATGAAAGCAGACTGAAGTACAATTAATAATAAATGCAGGGGTGATACAAAGCACTGCCTCAAATTGCAAAGAAGCTGAAATCAGCAAAGGTGGGTGGGGCGGGGAGGGCAGACTAGAAACATCATGTAAAACACTACCATGATCTACATACTATCAAGTTCTATATCATGTGCTCATATAAAAAGGAGCACTCTCAAAGTAAGTAGGAGGCATGCTTTGAAAGAAGGCTTCCTTGGGATAATCTTTTCTATGGAACTTGAATAGTGTAAATTGGATTGCTTGAAATGTATTGAAATGTATTACTTAACATATTACCCTGGGGTAGGCAGAATAATGCTGCCACAAAGATGTCCAAAACTGAATTCCATGATCCTGTGAATAAATTACCTTACATGGTAAAAGGGATTTTGCAGATATGGTTAAGAACCATGAGATGGGAAATGATCCTGGATTATCCAAGTGTGTCCAACCTAATCACCTGTTTCCTTAAACATGGAGGGCCTTTGCCAGCTGGGTTCAGAGTCAGAGGGAAATGTGAATACAGAAGAATCATCAAGGAGATAAACATGGTTGGTTTTGAAGATGGAGAAAATAGTCTAAGAGGCAAGAAATGTGGATGGCCTCTTGAAGCTGGAGAATGGAGTGTGAATGGACTCTACCCTAGGGGTGCAGAAAGGAATGCAGCCCTGCTGACACCTTTCAGCCCAGTGAGACCCACACCAGAGCTGTGATTACACAACTGCTAGATAATGAATTTGAGTTATTTTAAGTCACCAAGCATGTAGCAATAGAGGGTGAAGACAAGCCCACACTCCTTCACAGGTTTTATGCAAATATGAAAAATGACACAAATTAAAACTACCTGTCATTACTCCAAAAGTGACTATTTAACAGATACCTCAACATCTGCACTTGACTTATTTCTAATATGTTTTTCAGAGGGAAAACAAAAAAATCTTGAAAGAGTAGAGCCTTCAAAAAGGAAACAAAAGATTCATAACCACTTAGAAAAAAAAAACTGACATTATCAACTGCGTTTAATGAATTCAACAGAAAACAAATCATCCCATTTACTTGAATTTTTCTTGTACTTGAGTGGAAATGCTTTTATTCCAACTACTTTCCTACATTTCTCAATGCTTTTTTTCTATGAACCTGATTTTTAAGACACTTTTTAGGTGATATTTTATAATACATGTTGACATGCATGCATTCCCAAATCTATTATAGCAGTAAAATGATTAAAATTCAAGTAACTAATTGAAACTTCGCTGTTACTGAACAATGAGGCATTCATTCATATTTACAACTTACTGAATAAAAAAATAAATTAAAAAGGGTAGAGTTGCAAATCCTTCTTACTCACCACTTTGCAGCAAAGGGGCCAAAACCACCACATCAAACCCATGCCCAAGAGTAACAATAACACCAAAATAGCAATGATGGCTGCAATCCCGTTAGACTAAAGTAGAGAAAAGACAAAAACAAAGCTTAGGTCAGCAAAGACAAAGCCAGCAAAAATTAGGGTCAAATACCACATGCATTTTTTTTTAAGGAAATACTAGAAAGTAATACAGAAAGCACAATAATGCCCAACCAAATTTCAGGTATGTTCCTTTAAATCCTATAAATTCATTTATATTTTATTTAATACATGTTAGGTTATGTTATGTTACGTAATAATAAATATAAAATCTTCCAAATTGCTTCAGACAGTTTCAAAATGTCATAAAGGAATGTAGGGGAAAAAATCATTATTTGGGGTTAGACAATGGTGCCTATCTTTTGTGTCTAGGTAAGGATTATTTCGGTTCAAGCATGATTACCCTTAGACAGGATTTCCCCAGACTATATAATGATGTAACACCATTTACTTGGTACATTTACATGGTAAGACAACATGCATATTTAAAAATCTAAGTAGATGACAAGTCAACAGCAGCAACTATTGCTGGCAAATGGCCGATATATATCAAGGCAGATCAGATGATCTCTGATAACGGTTCAAGTCCTGCCTACACAAGAACCACAGGAGTGTCCTTTCACTTCCTGACTGCCAAGCTCCTCTGGCATCAAGACACCTGCTCTAGGCTCTGCCTGTAACCCTTTCATCCTAACCACCACCTATTCATCCTACAGGATCCAGGGGAAGTCACTTCTTCAGGAGGCCTTCCTTAGATCCTCTGGCTAGAAAGTACCCCTTCTAATTCTACAGCTCATATTTATCAATATTTTAATCCTTAGCACTTTTCACAATATAATTATGAGATTTATGACTTTTTTTTCATTTCTTTTTTCTGCCAAGATTCATTGCAAGTGCTAGAAAATCACAGGCTATGTCTAATCAACTTGCTACCGTATACTCCAGGCCTGGCATTTAAAAACTATTAACAGTGAGAATGAATCCCAAAGAAATAAGACTCCAAATGCAAAAAAAAAAAAAAAAAAAGAGTGCAAATGCATTTACTTTTGATAGAGAGAGTTCACAAGAGAAGAACAGCATCTCTTTCCCACTCTCTGGAATTCCCAGTAATCCTATTGTGCTTTAGTTCAGTTTTGGTTTTCAGGGTTTTTTGTTGGTTTTGTTGCTTTGTTTGGTTTTAGGAGAAAGGATTCAGGGAAGAACAAAAAGAGAGAGAAAAAAAGTAATATTTTTTATAGAAAATTTTAGGAAACTATCTATGTGTTCTGGTCTTAAAGCCAAAGAAAACAGTCCAGAGCATATATCAGGCTGCTTAGGGAAATACCCACAGTGCATTTTCAACACATAATTCTAAATATTCATAAAAAAAAAAATCAAGCTATTCTCCACAGGCTTAATTATATTAAGGTTTAAAATCTAGACAAACAGAAAAGAATGACTTAGAAGCAGATGGAAAACTGAGGTATGCCATAGATAAATGTGTAAATTTTTGACCTCATCTTCAAATACCAGGTCTTATGAAGATGCCTCCAATCCATGACTGTTCACAAGCAGAAGGAACTAAGCATTCCCCACCAGCCTTTTCCCACCTGAGAACCCAGGTTATTTGGCTGTGCTGCACAACTTTCAAAAGAGTTCTGAACATTTGGTTCCTCCTTTCTTAGAATTTGCACTTTTTCAGAAATAAAGACATGCAACTACAGGACATGAATCTGCTAAAATTTAGCAGTTAGCTCATTTTTTTCAGATGTCATGAACAAGATAGAAAATTGTGCCACCAGCTGGAATACTAAGTAACTGGGCTGACCCTGAGAGGTACGTAATTTTTTTTTTTATTTTCCCTCAAAATAAAATGCCTTTATTATAGCATTGACAAAACACTATGCCTCTCCAGATAAAAATATACATTTATTATGACAATACTATTATCTCTACTTATTCCAAAGCCTTATATAAAAAAACTAAAATTAAAATATGCACATTCAAGACCTACAGATCTTATTTTAAGTTGGAGCATGATAGAAAATAAAGCAAGAGGAAGCACATAATTTAATGATACCCAACTTTGTCATATATGTCTGAGACACACCTCCTGATTGTACCCATCCCAGACATTAGCTCAATTGATTGGATACAAATTCCAGCTTTCCCATTTCCTTTGTTTTGATTGCCAGAGCCATTATCAAAGCAAGGATATGTCAGATATGAAAGGGAAATAATTTCATTGTTCACATAACTTTATAAACAAATTAAGAAAAGTCAAACATGTCAAATTTAGGCCTGTGAACAGATACAGTGCTACAAACCCTGGACTAAGAAGCCTGATGAAGATTATGGAGCTGAATAAAATTACACCCAGATCTGTCTCATGGGCAGAAACCAGAAACTTCTCACTTTTACTGAAACATGTTTCTCTTTTGATAGAACTCAGGTCAAAACATAATCCTAATAAATATTCAGCACAATAATATCATTTTTCCTGAACTTAGTAGAATATATGTTATTGGAAGTTAAAAATATTTTTCATTCATTCAAAAAATATTTGATGAGCCCTCATTACATACCAGGCAGTTAAACAAGTACCAGGGAAAATCCTCACAAAGCCTACTGGAGAGCGAGAAACCTTCAGCAAAAGTGTGAGCAGTGTGAGAACCTGTAAAAATGGAAACTAACCTAGCAGGTTAGGCTCTAAGAGGATCTCTTGAAGATGTGTGAAGGGATGGGGAGGAGTGGAGGCAGAATCAGTGGCTCTTGTAAAAATAAGAGAAAGCCCATTCTGACTGGAGCCTGGAGTCAGAGGAAACTGGGTGACAGCCCAGGATATTGAAGAAAAGAAGTCAAACACAAACCTCTGAAAAGCTATCGTCCAGTACAGAGAGAACTGGCCAGTGTTGAATTAAAAGTCATTCGTTAGATGAACTTCCAATGGATCATATGTTGCATTCTTACAAAAAGGGGTTCTGAACAAGTAACATTTTCAGATGTCTATGAAGACTTGGGTATGAAAGTTAGCTGAGAAGTCCAGCATGAGACTCAGCATGTAGATGCCAGTCAAAGCTTTGACGTCAAAACTCCTCTAAGGATTATATAGGGACAAAGCCAAACCTCAAGCCTTGATGTTAGGAAAGAAGGAACCAATTTTCTATTCATCCAAACACATTGTTTTTGAACTTTATCTGCATCTAATTTCTTTTCCTTTTTTTTTTTCATTAAAAGAAAGTTATAATATACAATCAAAAACTTTCCCAAACACAACTGAAATTATCCCAAGACAATTATAGAAGTATAAAAACAAATCGGGGCCACTACTGTATTTGCAAAGTAATGATAGAAAAGAGGAATCACTCAAAGTTTCAAAATTGCATGAATGTTGTGATGGATCTAGAAAATAATTTAGTCACAATAGCCACATTAGAATAAAACAGACATAGAAGAGGAGAAATTGGTGCCTACAATTTTGTTACCATAAACTTAAGAGTTAGGGAAAGAAAAAAGAGTCATGGACTAGGTGATAGAGCTATTTACTGGATTCTTTGGAATATTCTATATCAGGAGTAGTACACTATAGCTCAAGGGCTAAATCAAGTTCATTTATTTTTTAAGACCTCTCCCAGGTAAGATTTTTTTTTGCATTATTGCATAGATGAAAAAAATCAAAAGAAGAATATGCCACATGAAATTCAAATTTTGGTATACACAGCTTTATTGAACACAGCCACAGCTGTTTATTTACATAATGTCTATGACTGCTTTTGTACTATATGGTAGAGTTGAGTTGGTTGTGACAGAGACCAGACACCCAGCAATGCCTACAATATTTACTATCTGGCCTTTTACAGGAAAAGTTTGTTGACCCCTGTGCTAGACAAATCAATTTTGGATCTGGTAAAAAATGGCAGATTGTTCAAGTGTTTGTTCAAGGGGAAAAAAACAGATTTGGGTTCAATTTTCAATTCAAGAACTTACTAGATTGTGAAACTGGGCAAGAAATTTAACCTTTCAGAGTCTCCAAGCTCCAAGTGAATAGTAAGAGCTACAATCAGCATAAGCTATGGTCATCAAGCCATGCATCCTGCTGAGGGGTTAGTCCACCTAACAGCAGCACCTTCTAATGTGTTTGCGTAAATGTGCCCTAAGGATTGGAATAGCTCTCTGATCTCTGTTCCTCAGTTTTCTCATCTGTAAAATCAACATATTAGTAACAGCTTCCTCTTCAATTGTGAGTATTAAATGAAGCCAGAAAGTGCTTAGCACATGTGCAATAGAGTTTAGCACACTGTCCAGTACCCAATCTGTGCTCAGAGAATGGGTTCTTGATATTATTATTCTAAAAGGGCCATAAAAGATCAATAGTTCCAAGAGGGGAAAAAAAGACATTTTTACTGTATTTTTTTAAGCAGAGATACATCTAAGAGACTGATAAGACCAGGTGTGGTGGCACACACCTGTAATCCCGGTAGGTTGGGAGAGTGAGGCATATGGATCACAAGTTTAAAGCCAGCCTCAGCAACTTAGCAAGACCCTGTCTCAAAAATAAAATATAAAAAGGGCTAAAAATGTGGCTTAGTGAGTTCATTTCCTCAGACGAAAAACAAAAACAAAAAAACAAAGAGAGACTGGAAGAGATGAAGGGAAAGAACTATTTAGAAACAAACCCTCTGTAGACTCCAGTCTTCAATCTCTTAACTTAAACTTTAGTTCACCCACTTTTTAAAAAATTTTTATTATTTATTTTTAAAAATTTATTTTTTAGTTTCTCCACATTTAAACTACACATACTACTAATTTCATTCACTCACTTAGCAAATAATTTTGGGCCACCTGCCCTGTATAAAGACCACATATAAAAAGAAGCAAAGATAAGTAGCAGGTTCTACCATCAGCATCTCAGGGCTGATGAGCAAACCTGGAAGAAAATAAAGTGGAGCTCAGAGCCCTGTTTGCCTATTTAACAGGACTACACCACAGGTGCTCTTGGAGCATATAAAGGATCTTATTTGTTTGTGGGATTTTCACAACAACTAATTAATTACCAGACC